GGGAAAGAGAGAGAAACCATGGGAATTTCTCATGTTTCCAAACAGCAGCATAGTTTGATTTTGCATCTTGAACTTCAGGAAATAGGCCTGATTTAAATTAACCCACTTTTCCTACAAAAGAATCAAATGCTGAACACAGCTAATGAAAACTGCCTTCCACAGACAGAAGAGATGATTCTTGTGCCTGCCATGTCGTGTTTCCTAGCAAGACTCTCATGCAATGCAACAAAACCTGCATTCAGAGAATGTGAAAGAAGCCAAATTTTAGAACATCAACTTCTGGTATTTGAAATAAAAAATTTCAAAATCAAGAATATTTTTAAACAACAGTTGTTTGTCAGACATGTGTATCTTGTGGATTACACTGAGTACAGACCTTTCAGAACCAGGAGTCTGAATCTGAGCTACATGGAAATGGGAATTTTTATTCCACACATTTTTTAATGTTTTTGAAGGAGAATTAATGGTTCTGGTTCAAAACACAAAAGTCACATTTGTGAAAATTCCAACAAAATATAAACTCCAAAGAGTTATAGTCCATCAAAATATTATATTACTGTTTCAATTACTTTTAATCAGTTTTGAAATATATCTTAATTTCTAAATTTATTTAACATACAAAATAATATTGTACAACTAAAAGGCAAACTGAATTAAGACAATACCGCTGAAATATTTCAATATTACCCAAACACTGATCTACTTTTCACTTTTCACCATCCAAAATTTCATCCTAAGGAATACAGTTCCTGTGAAATATTTCCCAAGACTGTATTTTTCAGTGGATAACTGCTTCATCAAAGCATTTTGATTAGATCTGTCTAGAATATATATGACCAAAAGAAATGAGAATAATATGAGTGATACTACTTCAGTGGGTGAAAGATTTAATTTTATTAGCAACAACAGGAACTTTAGTTCTGTTTGAATATATTTTTCTGATATGGTTTCAATTCTCTAGCATAATTTTTATTAAATTCTTCAGCTCTTTTTTATATTTCTTTACTCGGTGTGTGCTTAGTTCCTTCCTTTGCCACTAGTCAAAAGCATTTTTTGTACCATACTAATAGTTAAAGCACTACTGCTTTTGAACTTGTCTGGTTATCACCAGCTGAGGAAAAAAATGCTGGTTTTTAAAAGAAGGGATATTTTTAATCTCAGGACACAAGAAACAAAAGGCACTTTCTTAGAGAATTTTGAATAAAGAGTGAGAAAACTTCTCCGCTGACAGTATCTCTTGGAGTGGAGGAGTAGCAATGGTTGGAAGGAAGCAAGGAACACATATAATGTTGGGAGCAGAAAGCCATGCCTGGTCAGTAACCTAAATACTTTCTTTAAAAAAATCCCATTTTAATTATGAGACTGGGCAATGCCAACATCCCGCTCTTTGCCATGAGTCACTGGAGGCTGAGGGAAGATAGACACCCTGGGATTTTACAAGTGCTCCCAAATCACAAAATATGTAATGGCAAATCATTGCCCAGCCAAACTGCTCATTCTTGCTTACCCTCACATAATGTTTTCCCCCTGCATTGCAAGATAATAAAAGCCAAAGAAATGAGAAGTGTAAATAAAAGTGAATTTCAGGTATGAAAAGCTAAATGTGTCGTTACCCCACACAGTGTGGGATGAACCCCATGAGGATCTAGACTTTTTAGCAGTAGACTAAGCCGTGTTTAGCTCATGACTAAATATGCCGTCTTGGTTTTAAAGACGGTGAAGAAACCCCGGTGTAAGCACTACCTTGCTACAGTACTTTGGTGTTTCTCAATAACCCCTGCACAGAGCCTTTGAGTCACTTTCACTTGAAGCACCCTGCATGTCAAAGCTCTCTTCCCGCAAGCCTGAAAAATGACACCACATGGCTGCGGGGACAAGCCAGGGGCAGTGCAGGTAATTCACACTGGCAGCCAGCCCAGACCGCTCCTTTGTTTGCACTCTCTGTAGGTCTGACAACGCCAACAGAGCCTTTTGCTCCTCAGCTTCTCCGTGTACTTAGACCCAATGCTCTAAAATGGTCTTCACAGACGCAACTCTTCCTCACCTGACTTGCATGCAAACCATGCCTGCACTTTCTGGTTTAACCAAAATGTCAAGATGCCATAAAATTTCAGACCTTAGGATTGAGGCAGATGAAGGATAAAATGGAAAGAAGCTGCCTGGCTCCCGACAGACGTAAAACACCCAGTAACTGCTGGGCACTTGATGAAAAATGTGCGTGGCCGAGTCCTTTCTGAGCACGTTCTCTGGACAGACGCACAGCCACGTCTGTCGTGGCAGCTGTTGTGGTAGCTATCAACAAATCCCCAGCCTTGCCCTCTGGGGTCGGGGCTAGCATATTTTGTGCTATTTACTCACAGTCAACTGTGAGGGAGAACCAAAGGTCAATTCCGACCGGCTAAACCATGGGAAAGCTGCAAACTCACCCCCTCTTTGGAGAAGAGATGCATGTGCACCTGGAGCTCTGGCTCCATGGCGGGCAAGCCCTATGCCTGGACCAAGAAGTCTGCTCCAGAAGAGGGGTTTCTTCCCTGGGATGCATGAGCCAGGGGAGGTGAGCCCTGGTCCATGCAGTGTGGGCACCACCATCGCTCCCCTCGCCTCCCTGAGTGTCCCCATGGGAGAAATGACAGCCAGCCAGCCCAGGAGACGACTGTCCAATGTGGGTACGTCAGGGCAGATGGGATGGGGATGAGGCTGGCTGTGCCTGGCAGCCGGCATGGGACCAGAAGCAGGAGCCGCGTGTGAAGGCCAAGAAGAGTGAGGCAAGGAACTGGGACAGTTGGGGCCGTCCCAAGCCCAAGGCTGAGAACCAACAGTGAGCAAGGACCTGAGGAGGACCATCCTGTGCCCAGCCATGGCCTGACAAGACCGGGTCCCCTCAAAGGCTGGAGAACAGGAGAAGGGACAAGCGCTCCCAAACAAGCAGCATGAATGGGTCAGCTCTGCAGCCAGCCTGAAAGTCAGGAGGCCACAGGCACAGCTAGAGAAAGTGGGAAACCCACCACCCACCCTCGCACCTCTCTGGCTGAGGGGTGCTGAGAGGTGGCCAGAGAGGCCCCGGTGTCCCTTCTCCCCACGCCATCGCACGTAGGTAATTCAGTTGGTGACAATATCTAACAAACGCACCCCAAGCTCGAGCAGAGAAGCCGGCAGCCACAGAGCCCTTCCCCACCGGGACTTACATGAGGGAGACGGTGAAGTGGAAGCGCTGCCGCAGCCCCTTGAAGGTGATGAAGGACTGTGGTGGGAAGCTCCTGGTGGTCATCTCGCAGTACGGCCGCTCATATTCGCCCGGAGGACACTCGCACTTGAAGCCCCCGATGAGCAGGTTCACGCAGGTTCCTCCATTCTTACACAGCCCCGGAGCACAGCGGCCGGAGCGCGCGTTCACCTCACAGTACTCTCCTGCAAGGAGAGAAGGGGACGTCAGGGACGGCGACACCTCACCCCAGCAGCACGCTGTGACACTCAGCCACCCATGCGTCCCTGACACAGGTTAAGCTGTTTCCAGACTCCTGTGCCTGACCCCCTCCAGCACCGAGGTACCAGCTGGTAATTGCAGGGGGGTATGGATGCTGCACCGGCTCTCGAGTCTGAATTTTCAGGGGGGACCGGGATATGATTTGCTGAGCAATCCCTTTGCAAATATCCAACAACATTGGCCCTGGTTTTCAGATTCCTTGGCTGTTTCCAGACCGGGTGATAAATATAAAGCTGGTGACAGACAGGTCTATATGGGAGGAGGTAACACTACCAATTAAAAACTTTCACGTTCGCTGTCAACCAAAATACGCGTAAATTGTTCCGGTGTTTCGCTCTGGGTTGGCGATTGTGTAAACAGATCTGTGTTTGCACCTCGCCTCGAGTGGAATTTGGCTTTGCTGCCCATGGCAGTGGCAGGGCACGGCTGAGCTCGTGACCACGCTCGCGAAATGTTTATAGAAAGAATAAGCAGGATGCCGATGACATACATATTGCTTCCACATTTTCCCACGTACCCTGCAGGCGACAGCCATTTTCTGAACCCTTCACAGATGTGCGCAGCAATTCTCTGGAAGTTACAGCTTCTGCGTACCGCTTGCTGAAGCTGTTTTCCCCCCAAATGCTTTGACTTCGTTCTACTCAAACGTCTGCATCAAGGTGTGTTAAATGCAAGTACTAGAGCATCAGGTGTCTTGCTTTGTATGCACGCTGCAATTTTTCCTGCGTTTGCCCAAAATCTGAGAGTGAATCACAACTTAAAAAAATAATTTGTGATAATAATAATTTGTGTCCACAACGTAGAGAGGACAGCCACTTACAAAATCTATGGCTGGGACAAAAGCAGCTGCTGAATTAATCATTGTCCAGAAAGCTAAACTCTCTATGTGAGTTAATTAGTTAACATTTATGCTTTGGCATGTGTCTGCCTAAGATACAGCGTGTTCAGATCCTGCACGTAAAATTGTTCAGAGAAACTGAAGATGGTGTACGTAGTTGAATTCTACCCAGTAACAACACCTGAGAAATAAACATAGAGCAAAACGACACAAACACAACCAGCTGAAGGAATGACTACATTTCCAACACGTCGATATTTGCATGATTACTCGCTACCAGATTAAAAACCTACATTAATTCAAGCACAGTTAAAACCGTGCAGATGCATTCCTGGAGGAAAGTAAAAGCAGCAGGGGCTGTGGGCAGTGACTCGCAAACGCAGGCAAATTAAAACAGAAAGTTTTGCCCCCGCCGCCCCGCTCCCACAGGTTCCCACGCCGAAGCGCCCGCGCCGGGCAGCAGCCGGCAGCGTTGCAGCATCCAGACGCGTTGCTGCATCCAGACCTGCACCCGCACCGCTTCTCCACGCCGGGCGGCCTGCTCCAATGGTTCGCAGCTGGTTTAGCCACCGCCCGAGGGGCAGCGATTTCTGAGAGCAGGTGAGGTGGACAGCCCGGCCATTTCGGCTCTCCAGCTTTGCTGCCTTTCTCCTCTTGTGTCACCATCACGAGCCTTCCAGGCGGGTACGATGCGCGCTGGCGAAATGCAGAAGCAAACACAAGAGTGCCACAATCATGCAGTCAGCCAAATGCCTGCCCCATCCAGGTGGGCTCAGCTCCGGAGGCCAGACCTCCGGTCGGGCGCCGTGGTCCCCGCGGCGAGCCGAGCCCTTGGACAGCAGCCTCTCGACGAGCGCATTCGTCGGCATCTCCTGGGATACAACACCCTGGGGTGTTTCGGTGTATTTCAAAAGGACGTAATGCAAAGCACAGGGGAGCTGAACACATCTCTCTACACTAATAATTCTCACAGTTAACAAATTATGAAAGAAACCTTTCCTGTCATCCTAGAGGGAACGCAAGCCCAAACTTCTGAAGTAAGAAACCATATATAGCCAAGAGCTCAGCTCCAAGCCTGTGCTTAGAGCTTTTCTGATTCAGCACTGATGTTCCTATATTCTCACTTTTAACATATTAAGATGAAACGCTGTGAAAACTACTTGGTAAATATCTTCCTGTTTCCACTTATTAACTGTGAGTACCCAGCAAGATTATGTGAATACACCTTCCTTGGCACTTTAAAATGCTCTACAATACGTTTCTTTTGGGAGAAACTGCATCTATCATCCTAGACAGAAAATTCCCTCAGTGTATTGGATCTGTCAGACAAAGTGCACACACAGATCAGATGCTCTCAGAGGACACTACAGAAAGCACTTCTTGCTGATCCACTGCACAAGCACAGCCAACCCCCCTCAGCACACACACATCTTGTGTTCTAAAACTCTCAAAACACTGGAAAAACGTAATTCCTATAGAAAGACTAAACACAGGTTTGTTGCGTTAAAAAAAGTAGTAGGATAAAGTAACTCTCCAGCTCAGAGAGGAATGTAATCTTCAAGGCTTTCTGAAAACAGAATGATATATTTGGCAAAAGCAAATAACACACAGGCTTGAATACACAGGGAGAAAAAGGAATGAGCTGAAAGGAGAGATTCCTGGCACTGCAGCACGCTGGGGAAATGCCATGGCAATACGGAGGCGAAACATAAAAGCCTAAGCTGGAAGCCATTGACGGTTCCGTATTATTCTCTTATATAACAAGAATGTATACACCATTTATTTAGATAGCTACACAGGCATAAAACTATTTAGGAGAAAAGAACGCTTACAGAAAAGTTCTATTGAATTATGTTTATTACTGCTTTTCATGATGACTCTTGACAAAGTAATTAAAAAAAATGTAGTTCAACTTTAAATAAGGTCCTTTGTCTTATTCAGCTCTAGCATCACCGATGTCTCAGTTACTAAAATTATTCTGAATCTTCTTCAGTCTGTAATGTAAATGAGAACATCTTTGATGCTGAATTTTCATATTTTATGTATATTTACAAAAATATATTAAAATAGTGGTTTTGAAATCTCTACAGTAACTCCAAGACATCACCGTGCTTCAAGGCACAAAGGTCTACCAAGAAACCTGATAAATCCCTATTTACCCTTTTTATCCGTAAGTAAAGAATGTGTCTGCAATTATTTAGAAACATGGCACTTTCGGCTTGATGAAGTGGCCATCTGAGCAAGCACTCGAAGCAGGGCTTTGACCAGGAGCACCGAAGCCCTTCCGGCCACACACCACACTTCTGTGTGGCTCTCGGGTTTGTCAGCGCCGAGGGCGGCCACCTCATCCTGGACACGTCGCCGTCCCACCGCACTCTGCCCCACGGGAGCTTGGAGGCACGGCCTTAAAACCGCCCTCCAAATTGGAACCGAAGCCTTTGAGGCCTTGACGGATGGGCTGGTTGCGGGCTGGAGCCGGAGTCGGAAAGCCCTGAGGGAAGGGCTGCTTGAGGAGCCAAGAAGGAAGGGGTCTGCGTCCGCCCGCCGTCGGGATGAAAAGCGCCTGTGTGCCTGCTCGCAGCTGAAGGTCGGAGGGCTGGGACGCGCTGTCAGAGGGGGTGTCTCGCAGTCCGGTGGGAAAAAGTAGCACAGAATGAGGGAGAGCTGCTGTGCAGCGAGGGTCTGGAGGGGCTGGGGGGATAAGAGCACAGCCCAGACAGCCGCCGCACGCAGCCTGGGGACGGTCTGCGACACCGGCGATTCCGGCACGGCTCATCCCCTCACCCAGCCTGCAAAACTCCCCTTCGCTCCTCGTGGCATTCCCTTTGCTAATACAGTTTCATTTTTTGCACTGGCCAGCCTTCTAGGAATCACTTAATAAACCAGTTATGTACCACAGCTCTGTGAAATCCAAGCAGGAGACGTGAAGCTTAGTCCCTCCAGCTGCGAAGCCTAAAGCATGCCCTGTCAGATAACACGGGCCATGGCTGCCTGTTATCTGCAGGGAGATTCTTGGGCTTTGAAAAAATCCTGGCCCAAGCCTGCAAATGGTTTACTGTGACAGGATAGTAGCTGATCGTCTATGCTCCCAGATAATATTGATGACTCTTAAAGCTACAAGTAATGCGGCTCTTGCACAGCCTTTCAGTTAGTGCTTCCCGGTTTTAAAGCCCTTAAGACCACAAGGTAAGAGTTGTTTTTGACACTGCTTCCTACTCTCAGCCACCATATGTCTCTTCTCCAATTTTAGGATTAACTTTACAAAGACGTTAATCATGAAATTTCTTCTATTAACCTTATGTAAGTGAAGACACCGCAATATCAGGTGTAACATAACCAGAACAGGCAAAGCAAAAGACTGGCTGGAAGATTTGGTCTTCCTCTGATCTATTCCAAAAGAGTTTAATTAACAAAAAATAAAGGGTGATTTAAAAAGTAAAAAGAAATACATATAAGCTATCTGAAAAATGAAAAAACAATCTCACAATTGCAAATACCTTGTGAGCTGACCATTATGGGTTTCAAACCGCACAGTGGTGTGCATCAACGGGAAGGTCTTTGCACAAATCTGCCTGTGGTTTTGCTGTGAGTTGCTTGACCTTACAATGACAATGTATAACATTGGAAAGCTTGCTGGAAACAACATGAGGGTGTTGGAATAAATACAGAATTACTCTACACTTCACTTTACTGCAATGTGTTTCCACCATATCCCTGTTTAGGGACTAGTTCTCAAAAAATTGTACAATTCTCTGATTGTTTTCAACAGAAATACTACATTAAATAGATATTTACATGAAGCAGCAGACCTGCATTGATGTTCTCGTTTTTTCCAGTTTCCCTAGTCACATGTTAATTTTTCACTCAGTATCTGTAATTGTTTGACTTGAACTGGTTCTTCTCTCCTTTCTTCCATCCTGCCATTTGCTCTAGATACAGATTAATCTTCTTCTCCAAGCTGGTAGCTGCTTCACCAGAATGGAAAGCATTTTGAGAAGCTGATTAAAGCAGCCAGCCTAAAATGATGTACTTTAAAGTGAAAAGAAGAAACAACAACAAGGAATAGGGCAAAAGGAGAAACAACAA